TTAGTCATGTAATGTGGCTTTACTAAAAATAACACAAGTGAATGGCTTTCACAGAAATGTATCCTCCCACAATTTAAAAGGCTGGACGTCTGAATTCAGGAGGCTGGTTCTAGAGGCAGGCTTTCTCTCTGTGTAGGAGCAAGTCTTTGCCCTTCAAGCATTTGTAGGCACAGCACATGTTGCAGACCTGCATGTGTCTTGACCTCAGCCTTCCCCCAAGTCTAGGAGGTTCTCAGCACAGGGACTCCAGGCCCAAAGGGCCTCTTGTGGCTTTACTTCTTGATAGTAATAGGTTGTTAGGTTTTTTTTTTTCCCTGCATGTTTTCACTCCTTTTATCACTTGTAAGGTTTAAAATGATGGAAGGGGGAAGACAATGGAGTTCACACTCCAGTGAAATTCCCCTTATGTCAGAAGGGTTTGGTCTCCCACCCTAATCCTCTTACAACCGATTGACTGATCACATCCGATCACATCATTGGGAATGTTTACATAACTGCCAAATAGCATTACATGCCAGTCAATGGAAATCATTTTAACAGTGAAATTGCCACATATTTTGGAGGGCACACAGTTCATGACATGATTGATCTATCCATTCATAATCTATTTATACACACAAATGTCCCAGTGACAATGAGTGTAGTAGATACATATAAACACACACACACACACATTGATACATCCATGCACTCACTCAACACCCATCAATTCAGCCATTCACTATCCTTCCATTTATTCATCCATCAATCCACTCATCCATCCATGCATCCACATTATATTAATCCATCTACCCACCAGCCCTTCACTATCTACATACCCATTCACCCACTAGTTTTTCAAATATTGGCTCATTCATTAATCCACTGATTGATCCATTGATCCATCCATCCATCCATCATCTTGCGCTCTCCTATTTTCTATCTCAGCCTCAGAAGGGCTCTATCCAGCGTGGTCACATCTACATCTTCAATTCTGCCACTCTAGTCTGGATAGAGTGCCATAAACAACAATCAGAGGTTTCTGGGATCCATTCTGATTCACTCCTTCATCTTACTCTGTATAGAGGAAGGTCCCAGCAGCCCCCTGGCAGGTAACATCTCTATCCTCTATTCCCTGAGATATCCTGGGCACACCTTGAGCAAAAGTGGAGGAGTCTCAGTCTTCTCATCTTTCCCCCAGAAATGCTAACACAAGGTCACTTTCCAAGTCTTAGTACATCTTCCAATAAGACCTAATCTTCTTAATAAGTCTTCCAAGTCTTAATAATAAGACTGTAATAGGGAAGTGAGGAAAAGTCCACATCTGACTTCAAATTCTAATTCATCCTTGTGGAGAACAGAATACCGCCATATGCAACATCACATTTAATTCTCACAGGTATCTGAGCGATCAGTATTACTATCATTCCCCTTCCATTGTGATCAAGGAGTGTTTTTTGTGTGCCAAGCTTGTCTGTCCATCTGTCTCTCTGTGCATGTATGTGCGTGTGCGCATGTCTCTCTCTCTCTCTCTCTCTCTCTCACACACACACAGAGAGAGAGAGAGAGAGAGAGAGAGAGAGAGAGAGAGAGAACCCAAGCAACATCACTTCAACAATTTTTACACGTATCATTTAAATGGCATGAATTACACTTTTAGAGTTTGCCTGCTCTTCTGTCTATGCTTTTCCAAATTATTCCACAACCATATTTTTAAAACCACAATGCCCTTTGAAGCATCCCATCCAATTTGCCATTGCCAGCTTCATTTCCCTAGGCACTCCCTTTAGATAGCCCAATGTTTAAAGCAGATGGGTTTTACTAATTAACATTAACTAATTTTGATTATGGGAGCTCTGAAAGTCTGATGGTGAGGGGTTGTGCTGCCAACCCGAAGGCACACGGTTTGTATCCACCAGATGCTGTAAGGGGGCAAGATGTGCAGTTCTCCTCCCATGTGATTTATTGCCTTTGAAAACCCATCGGAAGGTCAGCTAGGAGTTGGTTCTGACTCGACATCACACAATAGCAACACTAACAACAACAATTTTGTTTAAAGGTTTAAAGATTATCTCAGGGCTATAGTTTTAGGGGATACAAGCCTTATTTTCACCCTTATCATTGCATCTCCAGTACTACTACATATTCAGTACTTTTCACTTAAACTGGCCTCTTTTACACAAATAAGTATATGCTAAAAAGCATTTTATATCACATGATATAAAATACTGATAGTTAAAAGTTAAAATCACTGGTAGTAAGTGATTGATGTCCATAAAAAGTGAATACAGGGTGTAAAAAATAATGTATAAAAACTTTTTAAATAAACCAGCATTTAAAAAAAAAAGAAAAGAAAACCACCAAACCCAAAAAACATTGAAAACTTGGCGATCTCTGGTGGCCTAGTGGCAAGAAGCTGCACTGAAATCGCAGAGGTGAGCGGTTCGAACCTACCAGATGCTCTGCTGGAGAAGGAGGAATAATCTCCTCCTGTACCAGTCAGATCTGATTTGACAGTACACACACACCTGCACACACAGAAATAAACACCTAAAAAAAACCTTTGAAAACCATCTCATAGGTCTACTGCCACTACTAAAAAAAAAAAAAAAAGTTAATGCAACCATCACAAAACATTGTTATTATGCTCTTGTCTTCTGGAGATTCTACTTTGAGATCTGTCCTTTTTGACATCAAGAGAGATTATCAAGCTCTCAGGACTCAGCGGTCCTAACCCATCAGCTAGTCCAGGAGAGAAAAGACCTGGTGGTGACTTGCTGCTGTGGAAATTCGCTCACTGCTCACTCATTGCTGTCGACCTGGAAATGACTCACAGCTGACCCTTCAGCAGATTTCTGAGATTGTAAATTTCACAGAAGAGATTGCCCGTCTTTCTCTCATGGTGCTGATGATGGATTAGAACCTCCAGGGTGGTTAGCAGTGCAGTTCCCTACTGGGCTGCAACCAGAAACATTATACAGCAGTTCTACTCTGGTGGCCTAGTGGTAAGAAGCTGAGCTCCAATCTCAAAGGTACATGGTTCAAATCCACCAGCTACCCTGTGGGAGAAGGATGGGCAATCTCCTCGTGTGAGATTTACTGCCTCTGAAAACCCACTGGAGGGTCAGCTATGAGTCGATTCCAACTCGACAATAGACAACAACTCTATCGTACAGCCTTTCTATGCATTTTAATCCACTTGAAGGGATATAACAAAAGAGATGTTGGTATTAGAGACCTCCTCCTGGATATCTTTTTTTATTGGGGACCTCCAGTGGCCTAGTGGGTAGAGAGCTGCTTTGAAAATACAAAGGCAGTTCAAATCCACCAGCTACTCCAAGGGAGAAAGATGGGCAATCTCCTCCTGTGTGTTGGCAGCCTCTGAAAACCTGCTGGAGGGTCAGCTATGAGTCGGTTCTAGATGGCCTGGATGGCCCACAACAACATTATTACCCCCTCATCTGTCCTGACTTGTGATAACATGCATTGCAGAACGCAAAGTTGCCCTATCTTGTAGAATCTTCATGAATTTTCAGTCTGTATACATTATGTGGCTCCTGTGTCAGCCCACCTCCCTCATTTACCTGGCTCTCTCCCAGCTGTCATCTTTACAGAAACAGACTGACACCTCTTTCTTCCGTCAACAGCTGGTAAATTTCATCTACCCAACATTCCTTTATCAGCCCACCATTTAACCATCAGGTTAGAAGTCCCACCAGGGACTATTCCCCATTTAACAACTGCCCCACCAGGGCTTCTATTCCCCCCCTCTCTAACTGTACCCTGGTTTGTAAGAAAATGACTTTTTTCTAATGGGTCCTTGTCTTAAAGGCCAGTCCTTGCCTTCAAATCACAGTGTGAATCTGGGGGCGCGCATTGCTCAGATGTTGCTATTCGCTGCTGAGAAAGGCTGACTCAGTGACCCTGCCCCGTGACAGTCCCCAGCAGGCAGGAATGAGATGCTGTCCTGTCCCGAGCCACACCCTTGACCCATTTCTGACTGGACCATTGAGTCCTCGTGGGCTGATTTTGGAAGTAGATTGCCAGGCTTTTCTTTCTAATCTATCTGAGCCAGGAAGTGCTGCTGAAGCTGCATCTTAGCAACATGCAAGTCATCCCTGACAGGACAGTGGTTGGTTGTGCATAAGGTGTGCTGCTGGCGGGAATCGAACCAGAGACTCTTGCTTGAATGAGATGCTAGGGTTCCACAACTGCACCACCAGTGCCTGTTTGTTTACTCACACATACAACCTTATTTGATACTTCACCAGCTCCAAGAAAAAAATAGTTGTGGTCTTCAAGCCATGGTCTTTCCAAACACTTGCTCTGCATCTGAGACCTGGACAATGAATAAGGCTGATAGAAGAATTGATGCCTTTGAGCTGTGGTGATGGAGAAACAGTGAACATCCCACGGACTGCCAAAAGAACAAACAGATTATGTCTTGGAGACGGTGCAACCAGGTTGCTCCTTGGAGACAAGGATGGCGAAGCTTTATCTCAAATACTCTGGGTATGTTGTTAGGAGAGGTCAGTTCTTGGAAAAAGGACATCATGCTTGGAAACTTGGAGGGTCAGCGAAGGACATGAAGACCCTCAATGAGCTGGATTAACACAGTGACTGGGCTCAAGCATATCAGAAATTATGAGGGTGGCACAGGACAGGGCAGGATTTGGAATCCGTTGTTCATAGGGTAGCTATGAGTTGCAGACAACTTGAAGGGACTTAACAATGACAGTGAGAGATTTGAGAATCACAGAGGTGAAGCCATATAGCCAAGGTCACGGCCAGTAGGTGACAGAGACTAGATTCTATACCATTGGTGCTGGGCCCTCTTTAGACTTTTGGTTTTGTTTATTATTTTATTATTATTATTTTCCTCTTTCGCACAGGCTCTGGGGCAGCCTTGCAGGAGGGAGGTGGGAAGGGAGGAGGAGTGGCTTGAGCTAACGGTTTCTCTCCTCTCTGCCCCCACCCCTCCTGGCCTTCTCCATCCCCACCCCGGTTCCTCTTCTGTCCAGTTGGGTCGCCTATGAGCAGTCCAACTTCCGGGGGGAGATGTTTGTTCTGGAGAAGGGCGAGTACCCACGCTGGGACACGTGGTCCAACAGCTACCGCAGCGACCGGCTCATGTCCTTCCGGCCAATCAGGATGGTGAGTAGCTTCTGGCACCAGGGCTGGGGGACCAGTTGGGCAGGGAAGGGGCAAGTCTGAGGTCTCAGAGAGAGTGAAGAGCTCAGGTGGGGCACAGGGAAGGGATGATGAACAAAGGAGGGTAATAATTTCTGGGCTAGACCTTAACCCCGTGAGGCAAACACAACCCCATTGTACAGATGAACAAACTGAGGCTCTGGGAGCTTGGGTAGAACATCCAAAGCCGCCAGCACAGAAGTGTCAAGAGGTATGATTTGAACCCAGGTCTGTATTCTGCTGGTGTCCCTTAATGGCTCTAAGGATCAATTCCTCACTTTCACTGAGTTCATAGGAAAACATACAATTGATCACACAGAAATATTTCTTACATATGGCACACAGAAATCATTCTCTGCTGTGTGACGTTGGTCCAGAACCTTGGCGTCTCTGAACTTCTCTGTCCGTGACCATAATAATAACATGAACAACTTTGTGATGCACTCAGCATATGGCGGACACAGCACTAAGGGCTCATTTAATCCTGTGACATCCCCAGTAGAGACTGTCACAGGCGTTCTTGGGTGCTGTCACATCTGTCCCAGCTCACAACCCACTGCTGTCTCTTTTGACTCCTGATGACCTGTTGGACAAAGTAGGGCCTCCGAGGCTGTGATATTTACAGTGGGGTAGTGCATAGCATATTGAGTTGTTGGTTTTAGGTGCCATTGAGTAAAGTATGTCTCATAACGACCCTATGAATAAAAGATCTGAACCCAGTCCAGTCCTGCGCCATCCTCACACTTCCTGACACCCAAGAGCCCACTGCAGCAGTTACCATGTCAATCCACCTGGTTAAGGGTCTTACTCTCCTTCACCGACCCTCCACCCTTCCCAAAATCATGTCCGTCTCCAAGGAATAGCCCCTCCCAGCAATATGTACAAAGTATGTGAGACAAAGCCTCATTATTCTTGCCTCCAAGGAACACTCTGGCTGCACCCTCTCCAAGACATTATCTGTTCATTCTCTTGGCCATCCTTGGGATGTTCTGTGCTCTTCTCCAACACCACAGCTCAAAGGCATCAATTCTTTTTCTGTCATCCTTATTCATTGTCCAGCTCTCAGATGTATAGCTAGCTAGTAATCAGAAAGATTGTGTCCTGAATCAGCATATTGAGTTGCTAATCAAAAAGTCAGTTGTGTGTGTGTGGGGGGGGGGGGAAGAAAATGTGCAATAACCAAGAAAAAACATAAGTATTTTAAAAAGAGGAGGGGAAGTCAGTTTTTCACATCCACTAACTGTTGTCTGGGATTAAGATGGGAATAATCTCTTCTCTAAATATTTGCAACCTCAGAAGCGCAATGGAGGGTCTCTGTGAGTTGAATCCATTCAGTGGCACTGGATTTGGGTTTGGATTCCTCTGTAGGGATGCATCCTGCCATCTCTCTCTCCTGCAGAGTGGTTGGTGGCTTTGAACTACCATCCTCTTGGTCAGCATCCAAGCATTCCACACTGCACTGTCAGAGCTTCTTGTCGGGCTTTGTTGTTGTTGTGTGCCGTCGAGTCAGAACCGACTCATAGCTGACCCTCTGGTAGGTCTTCAGAGGCTGTCATTGATCGATCACATGGGAGGAGACTGCCCATCTTTCACCTGAGGATCGGCTGGTTGGATTTGAACTGCTTGCCTTTGGGTTGGCAGTGAAAAACTCCTTACCTTCTAGATCATCAGAGCTCCCTTTTTCAACTCGTTGTTGTGTACCATTGAGTTGGAATCGATCCATAGCTGACCCTCCAGCGGATTTTCAGAGGCGGTTAATCACACAGGAGGAGACTGCTCGTCCTTCTTCTGCAGGGCAGCTGGTGGATTCGAACCGTGTACCTTTGTGTTGGCAGCCCAATTCTTCATCAATAAGCCTCACCATTCCTTGCCTTACCATAATTCCTTACCACCAAGCACAGCAACCCTCTATTACAGAATAGACACACACACCCTTCAAGGGGGCTCTAGGTTGTCATCTTTATGGGAGTAGATCTCTGTGTCTTTTCTCCCACGGAGCACCTGGGGGGTTTGAACCACTGACCTTTGAGTTAGCAGCTGAGTGCTTAAACACTGTGCCATCAGGGTTCCTTGAAGTACAGATTCATTCATGTCCCTTTTATCACAGATGCAGGGGGCCCTTCCAGGTCAGACAGCTGAGATCGCAGGAGGCCACCCTGGTGGTCTGACCACACTAGCCCTCTCTCACATCCGGTCCCAGGACCCTGGAGAGTCCCCGAAGTCACTCCTCCCCTCCCGTCCATGCCTGACCCTCCCTTTCACTCCTTAGGACGCCCAGCAGCACAAGATCTGCCTGTTTGAAGGGGCCAACTTCAAGGGCAACACCATGGAGATCCAGGAGGACGACGTGCCCAGTCTCTGGGTCTACGGCTTCTGTGACCGCGTGGGCAGCGTGCGAGTCACCAGTGGGACGTAAGCACCCCTCCTGTCCCGCCCTTCTCCCCCCTCCCCCGCCCCCGCCACCTTCGAGTACAGGCAGACAGAGCATGCGCGCTCACGGGACCTGAGCGGAGGCCGCGCCCCTCCCAAGGGCCCCTCGTGCTCCAACCTGGGACTCCACCGCCTGAGTTGCATCCCTAATTACACCTCGGTGCAAACAGACCTACCCACCCATTCCTTCTAAAAAGCGGCAGGAGAGGGAGGACAGGAAGCAGGAACTCCAGCTGGACTTGGAGGGACAGTTAGGCGAGGAGGCCAGAGCTCATGAAGGTAGACAGTTGTGGATGTGTCTAGAGAACAAGGATAGTCTGAGAGGCCCAGAGTGTCGGGGAGAATCCGCAGAACGGCTTCTGGGAGGCGAGTCTGTTTCCTGAAAGGGCCAGGATCCTGTAGCTCCTGAGGAAGCCTGTGCCTCAGTGTTACCAGCTAGACAATGGGCGGATCAAACACTTGGAACGTAGAAGTTCTTTCTGCTCTGAATGGGAGCCCTGGTGGTGTGGACCACAGAGGGCTGCATCTCCCTGGCAGTTCTAATCCACGTGTAGCTCCTTGGGAGAAAGACAGGAAATGTCTTCTCATGGGATTTATAGCCTCAGAAGCACAAGGAAGGGTCAGCTATGAGTCTGTCCCAACTGGAGGGTAACTGAGTGAGTGAAGTGACAGTTCTGGAAGCTTCTCAAGCAGAAGCCTGTGACCCCCAATCCATGAAAGCACAGGGAAGGGCCTAAAGACCCCAAGACCCCAAAGAGCTCTCTTAGTTCATACTTCTGCATCCAAATAACATGCCAGCCATGTCTGCTTTCCTCTTGCCAAAAGAAAGGCCTCCGTGTCCCCATGTGACCTTCTGAGCTCCCCTAAGGCCCCTGGGCCCCGGCCTTTTGATCTTTACTTTTTCTTCCCCAAACCTATAGCCCTGTTCTTCCAGCCACCTGCTTTGTGCTGAGCCCTCAAGCTTGGCACCATGTCAGACACTTTGAGGAAATGCCCCCCACCCCACCCCTTGCTTGGAAGGAGAGGCCACGCATACCCGCAAGCCGCCTCCGCTTTACCAAACATGACGTCCTTTCTGGCATTCGGTCTTTCCTGGCCACAGGCACTAAGTGGGCTAGCTGATACCTTGCCATCTTCGACACTCAGGAACTCCTAAAACTGATGTGTGCTTTCGCTGCTCCCTCCCTCACTCATTGTGGATGTCAGAACTGACTCCCAGCTGACTCTCCGGCAGGTTTGCAGAGACCATCAATTGCAAGGAAGGAGATTGTCCGTCTTTCTCCCTCGGAGCAGATAGTGGATTCAAACCCTCCACGTTTAAGTGGGCAGCACACCTTCCTATCAGTTAGAGGTAGTCTGTGTTCTCAAACACCACAGTGGAGACACAGAGCAGGAAGGGACAAAGCCAGGGAGGAGGTTAGTGTGAGCCCAGCCCAAGCCCCAGAGGGGGTGGAAAGATGGAGAGGTGGAGACTGGGCAGGGCTGGGCAGAGTGTAGGTGCAGGATAGAAGGAGGTGATTGGCTGGCTCTCCACACAGCTCCCCCACCCTTTTTTAATTGGTTTGCTTACAAAGTTCATATACAGTGTGTTTCATGCTAGTCTTCATTCACATTGTTTCATACAATCATTCCCATGCATTATGTTTTATAAAAGTAATCACCATTGGGCCTCACCCTGTCATTTTGTCCAGATCCTTCCCATTTCCTTCCCCACTCCTTTCACCCGCCAAATTACGCAACCCTATGTTTTCACCCCTACCCATCTGCAGCCCTTCCCCGCCTTGAGTTCCCATACATGTTTTACTAGTTATCCTTCTATTTTAACAGTAATGGTGTTGGGTAATTATTTGTCCTTATGAAACTGTATTAGTCCACTCAGCATAATTCTCTCCAGCCTCTCCCAAGTTATATAGTAATTTTAAAAATATCGTTGTTCCTGAGTGCTGCATAATATTCCATTGTGTGAATATACCACAATTTCTCAATCCATTCAGTTGTGGTGGGACATTTGGGCTGTTTCCATGTACTCACGATGGTGATTAATACTGCTGTGAACATCGGTGTACAAAACTAAGCTTCAGGAGAAAAGGTGCACAAGAAACTGCTTGAGTGGAGCTCCTGGTCTCACGCTGCTCTCTTTGTTTCTCCCAGCTGGGTTGGCTATCAGTATCCTGGCTACCGTGGGTACCAGTACCTCCTGGAGCCCGGAGACTTCCGTCACTGGAACGAGTGGGGGGCCTTCCAGCCACAGATGCAGTCCGTGCGCCGCCTGCGTGACGGTCAGTGGCACCGCCTGGGCTGCTTCCCCGTGCCAGCCACCGAGCTCACCAAGTGAGTCCCTGCCCTGCTCTGCTTCCGGGCCTCATCCCTCCTCCCTCAAGCTCCAGGCCCCCTGTCCTCCCCATGCAAATAAAAGTTCTAAGGCCAAGCTGTCTCCTGGTGTGTGAACAACTGTTTGCCTGTGGTCCCGTGATACCCAGTGCCATGGCTTTCTCAACTGGAATCCTAATTCCAGTAATACAGATAGCAAATACTCACAAAGTTCATTGCACACATTTATCTTACGATTTCCTTCTAAGGAAATAGCTCCTGCAGGAAGCAGGTAGCACATCTGAGTGGCCCCTGGCTAAGTGCTAGCTGTAATGGAAGGGCAGTTAGATTCTACCCAGGGTTCTGCAGAAGAAAGTGCTGTCCATCTGCGCCTGTGAAGATTTTGGCCATAGGGGGAAGTTCTACGCTGTCACATAGGGTCGCTTGGTATTGTTAGGTGCCGTCCAGTAGAGCAATGACTCATAGTGACCCGGTGAACAGCAGATCTGAACTTTTCCCTCTTCCGTGCCCTCCTCACCATCTCCAGAATGCCCGAGCCCATTGTACAGTCATTCTGTCAGTCCATCTCCTTGAGGGTCTTCCTCTGTTTCTCACCCTCCGTATTTCTCAGCATGAAGTCTTTTTCCAAGGACTGGCCTCTCCTGACAACATGTACAAAGTATATGAGATGAAGTGTCACCATCCTTGCCTCTAAGGAGCACCCTGGTTGCACTTGCTCCAGACAGATCTGTTTATTCTCTTGGCAGTCCATGATATAGTTAGAATTCTTCACCAGCACAGTATGGATTCTAACTTCACCAGCATAGTATGGATTGTGACTCAGTGTCAAGAAGACAAAGATTCTCACCACTGGACCAATTGGCAGCATCAGGATGGATGGTGAAGAGATTGAGATTGTACACAGCTTTAGTTTGCTTGGCTCCACAGTCAACACTCTTGGCACCAGCAGCCAGGAAATAAAAAAAACGTATTGCAATGGGAAAGTCTGCTGTTAGGACCTCTCCAAAGTACTGAAGAGCAATGGTGTTACTCTGGAGACTAAGGTGCATCTGATACAGGTCATGGTCTTTGTTATCACTTGTTAGGCATCAGAGAGTTGGACAATGACTAGGAAGAATAGAAGGAGAGTTGATGCCTTTGAGCTGTGGTGCTGGAGAAGAGTATTGAATGTACCATGGACTGCCAAAAAAACAAACACATTCATCCTGGAGAGGGTTAAACCAGGATACTCCTTGGAGGCAAGGATTCTGGTGCTTCATCTGACATACTTTGGACATGTTGTAAGGAGGGACAGGTCCTTGGAGAGGGACATCATGCTTGGGAGGGTGGAGGGACGCCTTAGTGGGGGAAGGCCCTCTATGAGGTGCATTGATTCAGTGACTGGGGTAATCAGGATGGATGTGTCAGAGGCAATGCGATTGGCACAGGATAGAGCAGGGTTTAGGGCTGTTGTACATAGGGTCGCTATGAGTCGCAAGGGACTCGACGGCACATAACAACAACAACAACAACAACACCAGCACTACAATCCAAAGGTCTCAAACCTTATTTCTTTTCTTTATTTGTTGTCCAACTTTCAGATGTCTATGAAGCAACTGAAAATGCCATGTCTTTGATCAGGTGCACCTTAGTCCTTAAACGGATATCCTTACTCTTTAGTACTTTCAAAAGGTCCTTGACAGCAGATTTCCCCTGCCATGCTCCAGTGGTTTAGTGGTAAGGAGCTGCTTTGTCAACCCAAAGGCATGTGGATTGAATCCACTCAAAGCTCTGCAGGAGAAAGATGGGCAATTTCCTCCAGTGTGATTTCTTGCTTCTGAAAATCCACTGAAGGGCCACCTATGAGTCGCTTCCAACAGGATGGTACATTTCAACAACAACAATAACACTACCATGGATGTTGATTGTGGATCCAAGTAGAATGAAGTTGTTGATAACTTCAGTCTTTTCTCCATGTGTATTGTAGGGTCACTGTGAGTTGAAATTGGCTTGATGGCCCCTAAAAACAAAAGGAAGTGGACATTTTTTTAAAGAAAATTTTTATTTTAATTGTCATTTTAACATAAGTTTACAGAAAAGTTAGCTTTTCATTAATTCATTGTTGCACATTTTACCCCCTCTCCCCAAGTTGTCTTTTTTCTTTTCATTAGTTTATTTACAAAATTCTAATACAAATTCAAACAAATTATTTCCATTTCCCTCACCCCCCATCAAATCATACAACCCAATGATTAATCCCCTCTTTTTTTAAATAATTTTAATGAGCATTTACAGAGATTTTGGATTTCCATTCATTCATTGCTGCACTTCTCTCCCCACCCAGACCTGCCCCCCGATTAATCCCCTCTTCCCCCTGCACATCCACATCCCTCTGCTTCCAGCCTCTCTCACCCCTCCTGGATCCTTATACTCATTCTACAATAACCGTTTTATACAATATTTATTCTTATGGGACTGAGTTAGTTCACTCTAGCATAATGCTCTTCAGTCCCTCCCAAGTTAGGTAATAAGTTATTTCTCCTGCATGCTGCATAGTATTCCATTGTGTGAATGTATCATAATTTCTCAATCCATTTGCTTGTGGTTGGACGTTTCAGCCATTTCCATGTTCTTGCGATGGTGAATAACGCTGCTATGAACATTGGTGTACAAATCTCAGTTTGTGCCTCAGTTCTCATATTCTCAGGGCATATTCCAAGTAGTGGAATAGCTGGGTCGTATGAAATTTCTATGTTCAGCTTTTTGAGGAAGCGCCAAACTGCCTTTCAGAATGGTTGCACCATTTTACAATCAGAAGTGGACGTTTTTTTTAAAAATTCCATTGTCTTTGAGTTAATTTCAACTCGGGCTTTTCTTGGCTGTAATCATATGGAAGTAGACTGCCAGACTTTTCTTCCGTGGCACTGTCGGGTAGGCAGTCTTTGGGCTAGTAACAGAGAGCCAACCTAGCTAGAGACCTGGTTATGAGAGCTATTCTCATTTAACAAGTCAGGGCATTGAAGCTCAGGGGAAGGAAAATGTTTTTCCAAGGGTCACTCAGCTAGAGAGGAGTGATGACCCCAGGCAGGCTGCCTCCTGAGCCCATGCTCTTAATGAAACAAACCTGTGTTTTCAAACCCCACTCCTTCCAGCACCAGCCTCACCGTTTACCTCCCTATCTGCATACCATCTGCTCTGTTATTTACTTAGTCATTTTATCTGCATTGACTATTTCACGTTTGAATGCATTGATTTGTAAATAAAACTTTACAAGGCTACTGGGAGGGGAGGCGGGGGGAGTGGAAAATCACGTCATATGCCACTGTTAGGAAGCACCGGAAAAAGATACCATTTAAAGAAGGCCAGACATCAAATTTCCAGCAGACGCGGATGTCCAGGGAAGGTGCTCATCCTGGCTCCTGCGTGCTCCTGGACAAAGTGGGCCATTAGCTGGTGATGGAAAGATCGTGAGAGTCACACTTGCACTAAATGAAAAACTATCTCTCTGATTCAACCACAGAAGATCGACAAAAGCCTTGCTTTTTTATACCTGATTTGATGGCATTTGCATTTGATCTTTAGTCCCAAGTTTCGCCTGGGATCATCTCTTCTATTACCAGTGGGACAGGCCAGGTCCTTTAGAAATCTGTTAACAGTTGATAGTTGAACTTGGTTGAGGTTATTAACCATTACTGCATCCAGGAAGCCTGGAGGGAGCAAGGAGTGTAAATCTCCCTGGAGGAGGTGATATTTGCAGGGGGTGCTGAGGGTGGAGCAAGAGCTCCTTGGTGGCAGATGAAGGTGAGGAGTGGAAGCCAATATTCCAGGCAGAATCAACAGCAGAATCTCTGCAGCCCAGCTGGCACCTTTGTGCAAATTGTACCACCATCTGCCAGACATTATCGATACACATCTGTGACACCTATAACATGAAAAGGGGGCTTTCTAGACACAGCCTAGGGGGAGCTGCCCTAACTCAAAGGCCATACATCTATCTCTAGGCGTTCAAATCCACTGGCAGCTCTGAGGAAGAAAGATGGCAGTCTCCTGCAGCACACGTTAGAGCCTTGGATGTGAATGGCAGCAATGAGGTGATGTGAATTGCAGCACCCTTGTGCAGTGCCCAACCTAGGCAGCTGTGCTTAGCAGCCTTTGGAACACTGTGAACAAAACATCAGAGGTGGAGAGAACATGAATCCTGGGAGCAGTAGCTTGGTGGTTCTGTGTGGGAAGCAGTAGAGGGTGGGGAAGGGAATGCTGATGAAGTGCTACACTGGCTGAAAAGTGTAGCTCTTTTTTTAAAATTTTTATTTTTTTTTTAATTATTTTTGTGTGTGTGTGTACCGTCAAATCAGATCTGACTGGTACAGGAGGAGATTGTCCCTCCTTCCCCGGCAGAGCATCTGATGGATTTGAACCATGTATCTCTGGGATTGCAGTGCAGCTTCTTGCCACTGGGCCACCAGAGCTCCCTAAAGGTGTAGCTCTTGATCATCCACTCTGAGCTTCAATGTTGAAGTCCATCTCAAAGAGTTTTACCTTCTGGCACCCCATCCTCCTCTTCCTTCCCCCCTAGTTCTCCCTCCTGCATCCTCCAACTTGGACTTGGAGGACCCTCTGTTTCCTCGAAGGCAGGCTGTTGGCGGGTCACGGTTGTTGGCAGCTGTTGAATTGGCTTTGACCCTTTGACAGGCTGAGACATGTCAGTATTTGGAACACATCATCAACGTGAGTCTTGAGTTTACAGAGGTGACTAGACAAACTACCACGGTGTTTTGACATCAAGGGAACAATCTTTCAGCAAAGCTACTGAAGGGGGAGGATTCAATCAATAAATAAACAAGTAACTTCTGGTCATTTGGTCTCACCTAGGCCACGTGTCAAAGGAGTGCATTCTTCATTGTGTCGTGAGCCAATCTGTTCTTTATCTACAAGCTGACCTCAAAGAGTTACTTCAGGGCTTAATGATTGTCTCAGGATGGTTATTACAGAGATCTCCAATCTCCACTGGGCCAGTGTACATAACAAACAACAAATAGAAATCCAAACTCA